CGAGGGGGAGCGCCAGGAGACAGAAGACGGCTGCCCGCTGGGGCTTCTAGTCTCCCAGGAAGGGTTTGAAGTAGCTGACACAATTAAACATAAAAGAGGACTTAAAAAAAAGAAAAAAAGCCGAGAAAAATTTTAGCAGACGTCTGGGATGGATTTAGCTGTGCGTTTTCTGGCAGTGAAGGTAAAAAAGGAAACCTCCATCTGGGTCTAATAAAAGGCACTCCATAGATACACTGGGGAAAAGAAATTTTTTCATTCAAGGGAGAATTAATTATAGAAGGACACTGGGAAATCTAAATACCATAAACGGGTTTTGCTGACATTTCAAGAATGTTCAGATTGAGTTTTTATTTTTCCGTTAAATAAAAAGTTGGTTTCTTTGAGTGCCCCGAAAGCCTGGCATTGCATGGCAGCCCAGCAAGGCAGCCTTCTGCACGACTGATGGAGGCTGTTTCCTATTGCCTGAGCTCACACAAGCGCAGGAATTACAGAACCCACAGCAGTGATTTCTATGGGTTTATCAACAGAACTTCTTCTCAAAGCATTTCATTTGTATAAATTTATAAACTCCAAGTAACATTATTTAGTATGAATTCAGTGAAAAAGTAAGACTTTAGTGAACACAAAATCTGAAGCGAGAGGTTGTGATGCTTGCTGGAGTCGATCTGTTCATTTCCAGGCTCCGTTTTGGTTGCATTGCGTAGAAGAAACCTTCACTCGCGCAGGTAAGAAGTCCTAAGTGGTCACAGGGCTTAGAACCCTGCACCGTGCAACCTCAAATAGCTCCAGAACTTTGACAGAGGCATTACGGAGTTGAATTCACCAGCCATTGCGTGATTCGTCTAACATCGCTTACATTTCCAACATAAAGTTAAGCAGCGCACCAAACCTTTCGGCAGTCGCAAAGTGGGGCTCAGCACTAAGGAGCCCCTGAGTTTTCCGAGGTGCAGCCGTGAGCCCAACGGTCCGCGTGCTCCTCCATGCCTGTGTGTGCATGCTCTGGTGCCAGGCCACCTCCCGCACCTCCATCAGCGCATGCCCAGAGCCTGTGCAGGGCCTCCGTGTGCGCGTGCGCGTGCGCATGCCCAGAGCAGGTGCAGGGCCTCCTCCCGCGCCTTTTGTGTGCGCGTGCCCAGAGCAGGTGCAGAGCCCCTTTGACCTTGCTTAAGGGGCGCACTGATGTGGACCATGGTGCCAGGATGTGGGTTGTGAGGGGCAGCATGGACAGAGGGTGAGAACTCGAGCCCTGATCCAACCACAGTGTTTGAACTTGACTTACTTAGCACATGTTTTATCTTTGGTACGTTACCTGTTTTTTCTTAGCTTCAGTTTGCTTGTCTCTAAAACGGGGATTATATGGCACCTTCATGGGAGTTGCATGATAATCAATGAGAAACCCCTGTAGAGCTGCTAAATGGTGCCTGACACATAGGAACACACACACACACACACACCCCTCAGCTAACTTTATAGGAAAAGGTGTTATCACTATGTTTTCTGGGGTGGCCTGGAGCTTTCCTTCTGCGGTAGCATCTCAGCAACAAAGCGTTATCTTACATGTGCTTCACGTTCTAGAATATGAGGGGTCTGAGCCACTGATGCTGTTCAGCCAGGAGCACCGCGCAGGTGAAAGAGGAGAGCTGCTGATGCAGGTGAAAGAGAAGAGAACTGCTGATGAGAAGTCCTGATCTTTCTTCTCCCAGTTAAATTAAAATGTGTGTTTTTCCAGTGTGCCAGAATTATATTTATAATACAATTGTGCAGGTTTTCTATATTGAGTACGTTTTGGAAATCTGTCTGCTAGTGGCATACATCTAATGCACTGTCCATTTTAGGCAGAGATGACAGTAAACAAATATATTACTAAACTTACATTAAGACTAAAAATTAAACTAGATCAAAATTAAAAACTTTTGTGCTTCAAAGGACGCCGTTATGAAATTGAAAAGAAAATCCACAGGATGGGAGAGCGGATTGGCAGAGCACAGGTCTGGTCAGGTATTTGTATCCAGGGCAGCGTTGGAAGGCTGTGGAGCTGTTGGAACCCATATGTGCCTCTGGTGGGAGCATTCAAAACCATTTCAGAAAACTGTTTGGCAGTTTGCAGTAAATATATGCTCCCGGAAACAACCCAAATGTCTGTCAACAGTAGAAAAAGCAAAAATAAATCGTGAAATGTTCACATTAAATAAAATGAACAAACAACATGGGTGACTTTTGACAGCCTAAACAAGGAAAAGAAGCCAGACAGAAAGAGTATATTATAAGATTCATTGATGCGAGGTTCAAAGCTGGGCACTCCTGGGGGATGGAGGCAGAGGTCAAAGTGAATGAGACCTTGGTAGGTGGGAGGGCCTGCAGTCACAGAAGGGGCTTCTCAGATGCTGACGATGTTGTGTTTCTTGGTCCTGATGACACTGGTTACCCAAGTGGAGGCTGAGCCACACACCTAGGGCAGGTTAGGCACTTTGTGAGCAAGTTATCCTTTGGTGAAATATTCATTAAAACAGATCATGAGTCATGTAGCATTAAATATTACAGAGAAATATTTGTAATATATTTATTACAGGAGGGATGGGCTTCCAGGGGGGGTTGGCAAGGGCCAGCCGTGCTGAGCTGTCGTGGGCATAAAGACCTGAAGGAGAGGAGGAAAGGGGCTGGGCTGAGGAACGGCACGGGCAGGACTCACCTTGGCTGTGTCTGAGGAGCCGTGAGACAGGGAGGTCACCGAGGGCCTCGTCTAATTTCTTCTTTCATCTAAGTGGATGGAAACCTTGGAGGGTTTTGGGAAGAGCACGAAATGAGCGCGCTGTAAGGTTACATGGTCACTCTGGTTTGTATTGAGAATAACTGCAGCAGGCTCAGCAGGGGGCTCAGGTGGAAGCCATTCTGTGTCTTGGATTAACAAACACAGGTTTGCTGCCCATGCTACAGTGGTCAGCCTGGTTGTGTGCCTCCATAACTGGCCTCGCTGCTTTTTCATGGTGCAGGGAAATGCTGCTTCTGGAAGCCCATTCATAGTCTCCTTTGTAGCCTGGAATTGACCCTGGAAGAGTTCACAGGTCCTTTCCTTCAACCGTTTTACTTTTTTCTGAACCCAAGCTGTGGTCTGAAACCCTCAATCCTCCCATTTCTGTTCGGCGCCAGCTTCCCAAAGCTCTGTTCCTTGGGATAAAATAACTCCAACTTGTGCCGGGCGCAGTGGCTCACGCCTGTGATCCTAGCACTTTGGGAGGCTGAGGCAGGCGGATCATTTGAGGTCAGAAGTTTGAGACCAGCCTGGCCAACACGGTGAAACCCTGTCTCTACTAAAAATACAAAAATTAGCCGGGTGTGTTGATGGGTGCCTGTAATCCCACCTACTTGGGAGGCTGAGGCAGGAGAATCACTTGCATCCAGGAAGCGGAGGTTGCAGTGAGTTGAGATCGCGCCACGGCACTCCAGGATGGATGACAAGAGTGAAATACCGTCTCAAACAAACAAACAAAAAAAAGGAAATAGCTTCAACTTAAAGTGTTAGCGACTCAGAAAAGTATGTGGCCCTCTGCTCGTGGAGCATTGAACGAACCTTAGATTATTGCCATAATTTGCAGCAAATAGGAAAAGAAATGTGAGCTGGGGACATTTTGCTTGTTTCTTCTCACCAAGGTAGTGTTTGCAGTTAAGCTGACTGGCTTTATGCAGTGCAGAGCTCCTTTAAATATCGTGGGACAGGTGGGTCTGCCAAGTGGGAGCTTTCTGTGCTGGCCCAAGGCCATGTGGCCCAATTCTAGCCTCTCTGACGCTGTTCTGCTGCCGGCATGCCCCCCACCCACCCGCCTCCACCTCTCCGCCTCCCCCAGGTCCCAGCCATCAGCCGCGTTGTTTCGATGACTGCTCCCACTGAGGCCGTTGGCTCACCGTGGGATGACTGCTCCCATCGAGCCATCGAGACCGTTTGGCTCGCCGTGGGATGATGGCTCCCATGGAGACTGTTTGGCTCACCGTGGGATGACGGCTCCCATCGAGGCCGTTTCTCCTGTCCTGCCCCTACAGAGCCTCCCTTCTTGTGTCCCACTGTGAGTCTAGGGGACCCATGCAGTTTTGGGGCCTGCTTGTATGTCTTCTTCCCCTAGTGAAACAGCAGATTCCTTCAGGTGGGAAGCGGCATCTCACCTGTCTCCCCTACTCCATGGAGCCTAGCAGAGGACTAAGTATACCGCAGATACTTAGAAGTTACTTTATTGAGTTGACTGCAGAAAACACAGGGGCGAGTCATGGTAACCTTGGATTAGGTGATCTTTTCTTAGATATGGTATAAAAAGCATAAGCAACCAAAGGAAAAGATAAATAAATTGGACTAGATCAAAATTAAAAACTTTTGTTCCTCAAAGGACACCATTACAAAAATGAAAAGAAAATTCACAGGATGGGAGAGGTGATTGGCAGAGCGTAGCTCTGGTCAAGCATGTGCATCCAGAAGACACAAAGAACTCTGTCAACTCATAACAAAATGATGCTCTAATCTAACCATGGGCAAAGGATTTTAATTGGTATTTTACCAAGGAATAATACAGAGGGCCAGCCAATGAATGAAAAGATGGTCAACATGGCTGGGCGCATGACCTGTAATCCTAGCACTATGGGAGGCCGAGACGGGCGGATCACGAGGTCAGGAGATCGAGACCATCCTGGCTAACACGGTGAAACCCCGTCTCTACTAAAAAATACAAAAAACTAGCCGGGGGAGGTGGCGGGCGCCTGTAGTCCCAGCTACTCGGGAGGCTGAGGCAGGAGAATGGCGTGAACCCGGGAGGCGGAGCTTGCAGTGAGCTGAGATCCGGCCACTGCACTCCAGCCTGGGCGACAGAGCGAGACTCTGTCTCAAAAAAAAAAAAAATTAAGAAAAAAAAAGATGGTCAACATTATTTGCATTTACTTACATTAGAGAAATACACATAAAAACTTTGTACTTCATACCCACTAAGAGGGGTGTAATAAAAAGGACAGACAATGAAGAGGTGTTGAGGAGGACGTGGAGGAGTTGGAAGTCTCGTGCATTGCTGGCGGGAATGTAAAATGGTGAAGAGACAGACAACGAAGAGGTGTTAAGGAGGATGCGGAGGAGTTGGAAGTCTCGTGCATTGCTGGTGGGAATGTAAAATGGTGAAGAGACAGACAATGAAGAGGTGTTGAGGAGGTGACAGACAATGAAGAGGTTGAGGAGGATCGGAGGAGTTGGAAGTCTCGTATCATTGGCGTGGAATGTAAAATGGTGAAGAGACAGACAATCCAAGAGGTGTTAAGGAGGATGCTGGAGGAGTTGAAGTCCTCGCATTGCTGCGGGAATGTAAAATGCAGAGACAGACAATGAAGAGGTGTTGAGGAGGATCGTGTGGAGGAGTTGGAAGTCTCAGCGCTGTTGGTGGGAATGTAAAATGGTGAAGAGACCCGGGACAATGAAGAGGTGTTGAGGAGGAAACGGAGGAGAGTTGAAGTCCTCAGGCATTGCTGGCAGGGAATGTAAAATGGTGAAGAGGACAGACAATGAAGAGGTGTTAAGGAGGATCGGAGGAGTTGAAGTCTCATGCTTGCTGTGGTGGGAATGTAAAATGGTGAAGAGACAGACAATGAAGAGGTGTTGAGGAGGACGTGGAGGAGTTGAAGTCTCATGCGCGTTGCTGGTGGGAATGTGTGAAACGTCCAAGACAATAACCCAAGAGGTGTTGAGGAGGATCGGAGGAGTTGGAAGTCCTCACGCGCTTGCTGGTGGAACAAAATGGCAGTGAAGAGACAGACAACAAGGTGTTGAGAGGATCGCAAGAGTTAAAGTCTTGTGCGCTGCTGGTGGGAATGTAAATTGGTGAAGAGACCGACAATGAAGAGAAGAGGTGTTGAGGAGGACGTGGAGGAGTTGGAAGTCTCATGCGTTGCTGGTGGGAATGTAAAATGGTGAAGAGACAGACAACGAAGAGGTGTTAAGGAGGATGCGGAGGAGTTGGAAGTCTCGTGCATTGCTGGTGGGAATGTAAAATGGTGAAGAGACAGACAATGAAGAGGTGTTGAGGAGGACGTGGAGGAGTTGGAAGTCTTGTGCGTTGCTGGTGGGAATGTAAAATGGTGAAGAGACCGACAATGAAGAGGTGTTGAGGAGAACGTGGAGGAGTTGGAAGTCTCGTGCGTTGCTGGTGGAATGTAAAATGGTGAAGAGACAGACAATGAATAGGTGTTAAGGAGGACGTGGAGGAGTTGGAAGTCTCGTGCATTGCTGGCAGGAATGTAAAATGGTGAAGAGACAGACAATGAAGAGGTGTTAAGGAGGATGTGGAGGAGTTGGAAGTCTCATGCGTTGCTGGTGGAATGTAAAATGGTGAAGAGACAGACAATGAAGAGGTGTTGAGGAGGACGTGGAGGAGTTGGAAGTCTTGTGCGTTGCTGGTGGGAATGTAAAAATGAGTGAAGAGACCGACAATGAAGAGGTAAGGAGGATGTGGAGGAGTTGGAAGTCTCATGCGTTGCTGGTGGGAATGTAAAATGGTGAAGAGACAGACAGCAGAAGAGGTGTTAAGGAGATGTGGAGGTTGGAGTCTCGTGCATTGCTGGCAGGAATGTAAAATGGTGAAGAGACAGACAATGAAGAGGTGTTGAGGAGGACGTGGAGGAGTTGGAAGTCTTGTGCGTTGCTGGTGGGAATGTAAAATGGTGAAGAGACAGACAATGAAGAGGTGTTAAGGAGGACGTGGAGGAGTTGGAAGTCTTGTGCGTTGCTGGTGGGAATGTAAAATGGTGAAGAGACAGACAATGAAGAGGTGTTAAGGAGGACGTGGAGGAGTTGGAAATCTCGTGCATTGCTGGTGGAATGTAAAATGGTGAAGCTGCTCTGGAAACACCTTGGCAATTCCTTGATGTACAGGAATATGAAGAGTTACCGATACACCCTGCAATTCCACGCCTCAGTATATCCTCAAAAGCTTTGAAGACATGCGTCCACACAGAAACTTTCACACAAATGTTCTTGTGTTCTTGGCAGCATTATTCATCGTAGCCAAAGAGTGGAAGCCTCTCATGCCCATCAGTAGATGAATGGATAAACAAAATGTGATTTATCCTTACCATGGAGTATTATCCAGCCGCAAAAAGGAACGAACTACTGATTTATGTACACCATGAATGAACTTTGAAAGCACGATGCTAAGTGAAGGAAGCTAGAAATAAAAGGCCACACATTGTATGATTCTATGTATGTGACATGTCCAGAACTGGCAAATTTGTAGGGACAGAAAGTAGATTAATGGTTGGCAGGGGCTGGGGGAGGGGATGTGGGAGTGACTGTGTGTGGGTCTTGTGCCTTCTTGGGGTGATGAAAATGCTCTAGAATTAGATGGTGGTGACGATTGTGCAACTCTGTAAATGAACTAAAAAAACGCTGAATTGTACATTGTAAAGGGTGAATTTTATAGCATGTGAATTCTCTGTGTGTGTGTGTGTGTGTGTGTGTGTATTATTATTATTATTTTTTGAGACAGAGTCTTGCTCTGTTGCCCAGGCTGGGGTGGAATGGTGCCATCTCGGCTTATTGCAACCTCCACCTGCCAGGTTCAAGTGATTCTCCTGCCTCAGCCTCCTGAGTAGCTGGGATTACAGGCATGTGCCACCACAGCTGGCTAATTTTGTATTTTTAGTAGAGATGGGGTTTCACCATGTTAGCCAGGCTGGTCTTGAACTCCTGACCTCAGGTGACCCACCCACTTCAGCCTCCCAAAGTGCTGGGATTCCAGGCGTGAGCCACTGTCCCAGCCTGAATCTTTCTTAAGTTATGTCTGGCCTTCGGCAGAAATAGCCACAAAGCCAAGGTAGGAACGTTTTACTCTTCAAGTGATGATGGCATCTGATAACCTTTTAGAAGGAGCTTTTAAAATGCAACATAGCCCAGGGCTCCAGAAAAAGACTTGCACGGAGAAGAGAGGGCTTTGTAGATCTCAGCAGACAAGGCGTGCTGCCCAGGGAGCTCGGTTTTCACTGTAACTGGGTTGCACTGTCGCCACTGGTCTCCTCCTCCCCACAGATCCCAAGGGAGGACTTCCTGTTGTGTAACATCCAGAGAAGCTTCTGGAAGCCTGGGGAGCTCTGGCTGTGCAGGAAAGATCCAGCCATTTTGTTGCGGGAGGTGCTTGCCATCACGCTCCCGTGTCGTTGACCCACCCACTTCCGCTGCTCACGTCATGCTGTGCTCAGCGCTATTCAGGGCAGAATTTCACTCATCAAAAATGGATTTGGGAGCATTTTAAAATAGTGCGTTTTCAGAATTTTTGTGGTTGAGAACCAAAGAAGGAAGGCATGGCACGGGTTTGAATCACTTACATGGGCTTTGCTTGTTTAGGTCAGTGTTTCTAGTACTTTATATTTCTAATATAAAGCCAAAGAAAGCCACAAAGAGATTTAAGGTGTGGGTGGAAGTGCTCTGTTTGCTATGTCTGTGTTCCTACAGAGCTTTATGTTTTTTGGGGAGGGTGGGGACTGGGGAGGTGAGGGACACGGAGCTCTAGTCAGGAGGGTTGGGCAGCCACACTGGGGGTGGAGAAGGTGGCCCGGTCCCTGTGGGGCTGTGGGGCAGGTGAACTCTCTGGGGGCCCCTGTCATGGTGGAGGGCAGAGAACACTGGTCCAGCACCATTTCCCTGGCCTGGTCTGCTCCAGGCTGCCTGTCACACCAGTGGTGGAGGGTGGAGGCACCAGCCAACTGGGGCAGGCTGTAGCCTCACTGTGGGCTAGAGACTCCGTCCCTGTGCTCATGTGGGACAGATGGGCTGCAGGGAGACCCGGGGCCCCATGCTCCTTAGTCCTTTGTTCCAGCCAAGCCGCCTCTCTCTCTGCCCATGTTCAGTGGATGCTGTTTTTGTTTGTGGCTCTCTCTGGACTGTTTTCCATCCGCCTCTGTGCATCAGGGGCTTTAATGTTTTACCAGGTATTTTGAGCCTCACAGTGACTATTCTGGGCCCAGGGGAGAAAAGGTGAAGTCCCGTTCCCCATAGAGTGCTCCCCTCCCTGTGGAAGTGTACTTCCCTTCCCCCAAAGATTGCTTCCCTCCCCCAGAGTGCTCCCCTTCCCCCATAGACTGCTCCCCTTCCCCATAGAGGAGTGCTCCCCTGCCCCACAGGGAAGTGCTCCCCCTCCCCACAGTGTGCTTTTCTCACGTGTCCTGAGTGTGGGTGGCATGGGGTGGTTTACGCATTGTCTGCAGGGAGCAGCCACCCCGAAGGCAAACGGGAGCACTAATTCCTGATCTAGATGGTGTCAGGTTGAAAGGAAGTTTTTGAAATAAGTGCAGGCTCATTTAGAGATGGCTGCTGCCTGGCCTGATGTTGCATGGGAAACAGCGTCGGAACCCTCGGGGGTCGGGGGGGGACGCCTCCTGTGGAAGGGGGTGCTGTGCTGTCCCCTCCCATGTCGAGTTGCACCTGAGACACTAGCATCTGTGCTGCTCAGCACGTGGGCCCCACGGAGGAGCCTCCGCAGGCGCTGGTCTCTGCGGGAGACTGGGGTGTGAGCACATGGTGTCACATCGTGTGTGGGGGAACTTAGGATAGGTGCTGTCTGATTTCGTAGTCTGGATATTCGAGTAAACTTGACGTTAGCATTAATTTCAGGCACTGGACGACCAAAAGTGAGAAAAGGGAAAACCTGAGAATTTGCTCAACTGTGTAAAAATGATCCCACTTCGGATAATTCTGCAAAGCTACCACTTATGCCAGCTACCCGTGGAGTGTAACATCGGCTTCCTGAGGCGCTCTCAGCCTGCTCCATTTTATTTCACTTAGATGGTATCCCCCGCATGTGATGGCCAGCCGTCGCCCTGTGCCTTCGCCCCGTGCGTCCCTGCAGTGTGGCTGAATCTCAGGGGACTCAGACACATGTGCTCAAACTGAAGGTCAGAAAGAACGTTTTCCATTCTGCCCCCTGATAATGACGAGACTTTCTGCAGATAGACACCTGTTTTTACTTATTGTGTACATGGGCAGGGGAGAGGAGGTCACTCAAGAATTTCCCAGAGGTCTGATAAACAGAACTCACCCCGTGAATCCAGTTAGGTTTTTAGTGTCAGTAGCATAGTGTAGGACAGCACATGTGCCGGCAGACCTGACCTGTGCAGAGGGTTCTATGGAGAGGCGAAGTCAGCAGCCTGCTGTGGCTTCTCTGGGGAAGATTCAGACTGGCAGACAGTTGTTCCAGTGCCCTCATCCTTGGTCTGCTTACTCCCTGTGATGAGCGCATGTGTTTTGTGAGATGTCTGCCACATGGGTGGGAACTGTGTATTTTCACTGTCGTGAAAAAATGTGGCTCTATTCAGTAGCATTGCTGGAAAATAGAATGGCCTGAGGGAGGTTTTTAAGGGTGTGATTATTAGGCAGATGTTGCAGGTTCCTGCTACAGCGTGACGACCCGTGCAAATGTAGGTTCCTGCTAGCATTGACGGCATAGGCAGGTGTTGTAGGTTCTTTCTAGGGTTGATGGCTGAGGCAGATGTAGGTTCCTTTGAGCTTAGGACTGTAACACAGTGGGCCTAAGTTCACCTATACAGCTTCAGGAAAAAAGGGTTGGTTGTTTATTTCCTGTGGTCTCAGCGTGTCCCTCCCTGGAATGTAATATAGACCCATCCACCATGCAGAGCTTCAGTTTGAATTTGGGGAGTTTGCCAAGAACTCTAACCAAGTCTGAAGGAACAAGGGGAGTCGTGCGTTTGTAAAGTATTTGGTTTTGATTGAACCAACAGTGCAAGTTACAGGTTAAGCCAGTTTTCAGGTGAGAATATTTCCTGCTGGTGTGGACGTGGTCATTTTAGTCATAATACTGTGACGGCAGAGCTGTGTCTCCGGCTGCGGTGGTGGCCACTTGCCTCTTTCAAGTAAGGAAGGCTTCCTCTTCGCGCGTTTGTCAGTGGTCAAGAAAGTTAAAACAAGAAGGCAGGAGAGTGTCGCTGTCCTCCCAGCACCCGGCTTGGGACGGTCTGGGAGGGTGTGATTGAGTGCAGTGTTCTGTGTGTTGGTGGATTTCTCTGGGTGGAGATTTCAGGGATGCTTATTTCTGTCCAGTCCATCTCAGACATGGAGAGCCTCCTAATCTCCACATTTGATGACATTTGATGACTCTCCCTGACAGCTTCTCATGTGAAAGCTGATAGCTGCTGGTGCCTCCCTCCCCAGCCCTCTGCTTGCCACCTGCCCTCGCAGGTGAGCCGCTGCGCCTCCCAGGCTCCTTGGCCTGCAGTCAGCTCTCGGTGCTGTGGAGGTGTTTTGCTTTTGCCAGGAAAGTGCATCCTCCACACCTTCCCTCCTGGTCAACTCTTAGTCACCCTGCTGGTGTGTAAATAGCAGAGTGCTCTGAACAGTGTTCCAAGTGTGTCCCAAGTGAAACCACTGTGGTTAGCCAACTCCAGTTCAAATCCCTTC